ATGACTCAAAATTTGTCAAAAAAGACTCAAAAGTTGTCCAAAATGTCAAACTCTTGTCCAATTTGACTTGAAATTGTACAAAATGACTCAAATGTCCAACATGACTTGAAACTTGAAGTAGCAGAAACTTGTCCATGATGACTCAAATTAACCAAAAAGATTTAGAATATGTCAAAAATGTCTGTAAATATGTGCAAAATGACAAAAACACCATCCACAGTGACTTGAAATGTGTCTAAAAAGATTCAAAATGTCTAATGTGATTAAAAACTGGTCCAAAATGACAAAAATATGTTAAAAATGACAAACATATCAGTGCAAACAGCACAGACAATTTGTATTATTAGCATCACTTCACTGCTGGTTTTATGTTAAAGTGACCCTGTGTTCTCCGTCTGCAGGTCTCTGTGCTGAGCTACAGTGCAAAGTTCGCCTCCTGTTACTACGGACCCTTCAGGTAAATCAGCGCTCAGGAATCAGTGGAGCTGCTCTCTGAGGTGTGAACTAGCTGAAGCTTCCTGCTGTGTTTGTGTACAGAGATGCTGCTCAGTCCAAGCCGGCCTTTGGAGACCGACGCTGCTACCAGCTGCCTCCTGGAGCCAGAGGTCTGGCTGTCCGCGCTGTGGTAGGCTGAGTTCACATGTGTGCACATCTGGATTACTGGTGTCACTCTGGAGCAGCTGATCTCACTGCTGTCGCTCTGCAGGAACGAGACGTGAGGGAAGGAGCTGACATGCTGATGGTGAAGCCCGGGCTGCCCTATCTGGACATCGTGAGGGAAGTCAAAGACAAGGTAGGATTGATCTCAGAAGAATAATGCTGCAGTGAACAGTTTTAACAACTAAACTGACTGCAAAGGTCCCGACAAATATCATAAAACTTGCCTTTAGTAAGATATAAAAGATATTAAACAGTGATTGTTCTTGTCTTGCTCAGTTCCCGTCCCACCCTCTGGCGGTTTACAACGTGTCGGGGGAGTTTGCTATGATGTGGCACGGAGCTCAGGCCGGAGCGTTCGACCTGAAGGCCGCCGTCATGGAGGCCATGACCGCTTTCCGCCGGGCAGGTGAGGGGAGAGTGGACGCTCAGACGGCGTTTCTGGCACCTGAAAGCAGAGCGGATAGGTGTTAACGCTTCATCCTGGCATTTTATTTGACCTCCGGGAAGATCCAGTGACAGCAAAGCACAGATGATGAGGCTGGTTGGATTGTCAGAAACAGAAGAATGTTGTGTTTTATTAAAACAGTACGTTGATGATCAGAGAAAGCCGAAGGAGGCAAAACTGGGGTTTAATCAGCTGATTATCT